TTTTTTTTTTTTTTTTTTTTTTTTTTTTTTTGCATCATTTATTTATTCATCTATTTTCTTCTACCAAAGTTTTTTTTCTTAATTCAATAAAAAAAAGTGTTTTCATTATTTACTGTTGCACTGATTCCAAATTTGGCAAAGAATTGTACTTTTAGACAGTTACTGCACAGATATCAAATTGCATAAAAATCGGCTTATGCATTTCTTTTGTTGCCTATGGTTTGCTCTGAATAACAAACCAATTTACCAAAACAGCTGCCTGTATTTGAGAATATACTCAAAAGACGACAGCAGTAACAACAAAATTAAAAAGATGAGAAAATGAAGAAAAAAGTGGGGATATTTAAGCATATTTTGATGTTATCAAACATAACTGTTGCAAATGTTGCTGCCATCAACGATGATTATGATGATGGTTTGGCCAAAAGAATTTGCTGATTCTTGGCCATTACAGTTTCGATAGTTGGAGGTCATCAGTAAAATTTTAACTGCATATTTCAGATGGCTCGTATTCGGCTCGTAAACCACCCATTGCTCCGTCATCTACAAATTCACAAGGTGAGATATTTGAAGGCAACAATTTGGGCAACGTCTTTAAATGCACTGAATGTTCCATTTTATTGTTTGCGTTATCTTTATTGAAAAAGCGGAAAAAAAGGGCGTTTGTCGCAAAGGACAAATTGATTAGAAGCTTTAAATTAAATTTTTTCAATTCTTTCAATGAATAAGCGCACAGCCAAATTCAAAAGAAAGAAAAATATATTACTAATGCATTCCAATTTTAAAAAGTCGTGCAGATAAATTATAAATCGTATGCTTAGCTCTTTCAGAGTAGCAGATTACAAAATAAGAAATTTTAGGTTATTGTACAGCGCTTGGAAAGACAATTTTTGAATTAAAAGCACGACAAGATCGAGGTGTTGAAGAACGAAAAGGTGTTTCACCAAAAAATAATATTTTTGCTGCATATAGAAAACGCGATGACTTCTTCTCAGCAAAAGATTCAATAATCCCAAAATCCTTTCAGGTTAATTACTGCATAGAAATACATTAAAAAACATAAAAAAAAATATTTACCCTCCAAATTTTACTATAAGATAATTGTATTATTTTTGATTTTCAGCGGACGCAGTATGAGCAGGGCAAAACGTCATTTTTTGGAAGTAAGACGCCAGAGATTAGTCGACCCACTTATCGCATTAGTGCTTACCAAAGTGATGCTGAAAGTCCACCGTGGATCAAGCAGGCCGCCGTGCAACGATGTTCAAGCGCTATGGACATGAACGGAATACTAACAGAAAAAAAGCGAAATTTTGGTCAAGATGGTCAAACAGTTTCTTCAACCTACCCTGTTAGAAATTATACAAATATTGATGCCTTTTTTTTTTTTGATCTTACCGACACTCCACCCGCATCAGAATCTTGGGTGCAAATCAGTAAAGTTTTTCTCAGGAAACATTTGTTACACACCACTGAATAGAAAGAATTTATATTAAAAAAGGAAAGTTATAGGATTGGAATCGAGGTGTTGTCAATTCGCAAAATTCATACAGCACATTACCCCCAAGAGCAGATGCCGATTCCGTTTCTTATCGTTTTAACAGCAATTCAGCGTCACCTCAGCTTTCGATGCATAATCAATTTCCCAGCACTCCAGAAAGGTACTGATAAAGTTTAATTTATCTTAGTGTAGAATAATGGCCAAATGAGGTTAACTTAATAAATATACTCCACTGTACACTGAGAGATTAGAACCTAGAACATATTTCAAAACTACCAATTCCTATTACCAAGAATCAAAAACTGTAGAACCCCAGCATTTGAAAACATGTATTCTACAATGCCAAAACGGGACACCACGCCAATTGAACGATACCGGACGGTGACATCAGTTGGAACATCAACTCCTCCACTGCCACCAACAAAGCCTTGCAGTGAATGTTCAGCATTAAGAAATCAATTGCTCGATCTATCAGAAAGGTTATCGCACAATTTCATCGTATTTAATCGTTATTCAGAGAGATTTCTTATTACTTGCAATAAATTTAGTTGCTTATCAGTGCTCTCATTCTTTCTCACTATTTCTCAAACCCTGTCAAAAATTTATTCATAGGTGAGGTTAATTACATTCTTATAGTTTTTACTGTTACTGTACTATATGAAAATAAAAAATTTATTTTAAGGCTTGCCGCGGTCGAAAAACAACGTCTGTTAAAAGTACTTGAAAATAAAGAGCCAGAATCTTTTAAGTTGAGTAAAAGTGTTGGCACTGACCTGGAACAGAGAGCATTTGCTGACAAAAAAATTGGCAATGAATATGCCCCAAGTCTTGATGTTGCCATTTCAACAAATCCTGTAAGTTACGTTGATTTCGCCGGTGATGCACTAAACACTGAATGTGAAAGTAAGGTGAGCATTTAAGAATATTATTAATATTGTAGTTATAGCAGCTAAAATAAATACTCTGACTATGTGACCTTTTAGACGACAAGTGTAACTTACAACGATCGTTTAATTTATGGCCAAGTTAAAGATAGTTCCGTATCTCCACCGATGAAGCCGCTTTGTATATCTTTTGGTGTTGCTACTGACCCGCTCCCAACAAGCATTGGTCTAACTGATCAAAATTCTACAAAAGAACCCGACAATGCTGAAAAAAAATGTTACTCAGACGCAGCTAACTGCACAGAAGCAATGAGCTGTAAAGGTGAATTTGATGGTTATGGTCGGAAAGTTTAATGAGGAAATTAGAGAAATATAAATGAGCGAAACTAGGAATTTAGTTGCGAGAAGCGGGACTATCAGACACTTTATTATTCGAGAAGTAATTTTTACACGCTACAAAGATTGAAAGTTTCTTGGCAAACTGATAGAGTGCTTCAGCTTTTCAATTTAGGTCTTTTAGTTGTCTGATTGTACTAATAATTTTCAAAAGAAAGCAAAATTGGTAATCTGACTTTGTAAAAAATTTTGAAATTTTCACAGTTTATTGTAAACCAGCAATCATTTAAATGTTATTAAAATTACGGAATTTAGACTGTGCTTGCGAAGCTCATCTAAGAGCACCAACAAAAGATGAAGGTACTATGACAGTGCAGCGAATTTTGATCAGCCGGGCTTCTGGAACTGTCAAACCTTTTAAGCTGAAGGAAGCAGCGATCGAAACTGACATTGTTAATATAGCTTCTAGTGCCATACAGACAGAAGCTTGTCTGACAAAGTTATTATTACAAAATCTGTTTAATTACTCCTAATGTTCTCTCAGTAGTTTGAAATTGTTACTGTCAGTCATTGGTGTTTAAAAGGGGAAACTTTTTAAATTATTTTTTACCGCAGCTTTCTTTGCTTATGAGGTTAAGTGAAGACACTCTCAAAAGAAAATTTGTCTTAATTCTTTTAATACTATTTAGCGTGTCAACACAACAAGTACAACAGTATAACACTAAAAGAGATAAAAGAAAAAAGGAACGACTTGCTAAATAATACTCAGTGAAAGGCTAAAGTTATGTATCGTTCTAGCTAGTGAAAAATTGTACTTAGGTTTTGTAGGACTGTGGCGCTTGCGACCACCAGTGTAGATGTCAAAGAACGTGGAGTGAGTCCAGTTCAAGATGTTTTTACTCATGACGCGTCAACAGTTTGTGATATTGTCGTCAATGTCCCAAAACCCCCACCAAAACCACAGAGTGAAGAGGCTGTTGCTCAAAGTTGTAGTAAAAAGCATTACGCAGATGCTACGACACAGAGTGATATAGGTTTGTATATTCACGACAACGAAAAACGACCTGTAGCTGTTTTTAAAGTACTAGTTTTTTTGAGTGTAAGATATGAAGCACGCTTTACATACCGTTTTTTTAGAACCTGATCATACTGAACCTCGTGTGTTGAGCGACTCTGAAATTGCTGAGTCGTTGTGGCTTATGCCATCAAAAGATACTGTCGAAACTGCAGTGGGAAATGATGACGATTATGCCATAGAGATGAGCAATACAGATGAAGATTGTAAAGAAAATCACATCGAAGATGCCAGTAGTGATACGGCAGCTAATAATGGAGAGGATGAAGATGTGGTATGATTTTCAGAAGGAAGAATAAGCGAAAAAATGTTAATCTCTTTGGTCATTCTTTGCAATCAATCATAAATTACGCATATTGCTACACTGCTGTAATCATACAGATTTCGATTACTGAAGAAACAATATCCGATCAAGAAGTTGCTGATATGAACGAGTCTGTGGAAGAGTCGTTTGTTGAACGACAAGAGGCAGACGATGATGTAAAAACTAAACCGCGAGCACTTGGTCAACAGCGTGCTGCTGTGGTTCGAAAGCTGTTAACAGAAACCAAAATTCCACAGCCAAACAATAATTTTGTTCGTGGTACCGTAGCTTCGCGATCTTGTCGAGTTGAGAGTAAAAAAGGCGACTCATTGCAGTATATTACCGACCAATACAAAGTGAAGGTTTGTTATCATTGGATTTAGGAAATGAATGCAGTTCAATACAATTTAATAATGATTACCCAAAAACTGTGTATGTTTCACAGTTTACTCTTTTGAACTGGTATGGTGTAGAAAACACAATGATACTGAATACAGCTAACACGCTTTTTGATATGACTGAGTTATACGCATTATTACTTACGCCTCATTTCGATTATTTCCGAGCATGAATTTATTTACCTGTGTTTTGCAGAAAAGTTCAAATCCATCGACACCACAAACACAAAAGGGCGCCTTGAAAGAAAAAGTTGTCCTTAAGAAAGAACCGATTGCAAATCCATCCAGAGTGCCTGACCCGATACCCGCTCGGATACCTAGGCCAAAAATTTCAAGATATAGCCCAATTGAAGCGCAAGCTCAGTCGCCTGACGAAGTATTTAAATTTGATTTCTGAAAAATTATAAACCACAAAAAGCTTAGTAGTTTCGTATTTTTTCCAACTGAACACGCATTTCTCTATATATATGCAATTCATATCAATAAAAAGTGACACTGTGTATATGACTACTTATTTCATGTAGAAGAGGTACCTATAAATTTTTAAAAGTTTTCTAAAAAATAATATAATTCAAATTTTTTTCTTAAAACTTCATGTTTGTGCCACAAGCAATTTGCAATTAAATTAAGAAAATTAAGGTTTTGAAAAATTGCAAGCGGTTTACAAACATTGTACTTTTTATCTGCTAAATTAGATCAGTTGAATGAGTAGAATGGTTAGTGGACGTTGTGTTTTCCAATAAATAATAAAAATTTTTCTGACACTAGAGGTTTTTTCAATACTTTTTTTAGCAGTTTTAGTTTTATTTCTTTTTTTGTAACCAATTTAAGTTTTTTCAACAGGAAGCTGAAGTCGCTGATCGTTTAACTCCTCTGCGATCCGAGATGCGCACTTTACGCACTTATAGTAACGGAAGGGTGCTTCCGCCGCCACGAATGTTACCACCAACAGTACCTGTGCAACCACAGAATGATGTTGTTGCATACGACGCTCCAGCTGCAGAAGAAGACACGTTAGTTACTCACCCGTATCTTAAATAATGCTGTGATACCAGTAGAGTTCTTCTTCTTTCCCTTTCTGATGCATTTATCAAATAGTACGTATAGTAGAAGTGTGTAGATAGAAATTTTCGTAGTTTCTGCTTCTTTTGCTGCATGTCTGCTTAGAAAACGATACATAATAATTAGAATGTTTCTATTGTAGTAGATCAGGTGCTCGTTACACTGTTTCTGTTTACAGGAATAAACAAAGAATAAACAAAGGTGCAGAACTTTTAATAAGCGTTTAAGAAATTTTTTTCAGTAATTATTGTTGAGTAAAGAACAGGACTGTTCAGAAACAAAAGAAGAAAAACAGGGG